CGAACTTGCGTAGAGTGACGGCGACGGTGCTACCGGACTCCTGCAAGGCATGTTTCAAGGTGCTATCAGAGACGACGTTTCCGTCGAGGGGGATGTAGGCGGCGCCAGTCTTGAGGATACCAATGACGGCAACGGGAAGTGAGGTGCAGCGCTCCACGAGCATGCAAACTCGAGCGCCCTGGATTACGCCAATAGAGCGAAGGCGAGCGGCTAGGCAATTCGCCCTGCGATCCAACTCGGCATAGGTGATAGTGGTGCCTAGCTCATCGACAGCTGTGAAGTCGGGATTGCTCTTCGCGTGGAATTCAAATGCGTGGTGAACGCACTCGAACGGAACAGGCGCCTTAGCTCCTATTCCGTACTTCCAGAAGAGAGCCCGGTCTGTCGCAGACAGATGGGAGAGGAGGTCTGAGGACGCCATTGCAGCCGTTGCGCTGGAAGGTTTGGGGAAACGAAACGCAGAGGCTGACCCCTTTTAAACAAATCGACGGTCCAGAATACTTGGGTCGCTGGTACTACCTTGTGAGGCATGCCTGGTTGAGATCATTTCTCGCACAGATCTTGGTATTTAGTGCCGGTCCGGTTCGAGTCTGACCACAGAAGTCAGGCTGGTAGATCTCCAACAATAGCCAAGGGCCAAAGAATTAGGGTTTTTTTTGGCCGTCATAAGGGGAGGAGAGCTTCTCTTCGTAAGCCCACATGGGCTCGGTGGAAACGAAAGTGTCGGAAGTGTGGAACAGAGGTGCCAGGATAGCCGTTTTGGCAATTATTTCGCGTAAAGGTTGACATTCCAGCAGTGATGCTGCCTACGAGAATCATGGATCAGATTCTGGCTGTTGGAGATGGGTTTAGAGATGAAAGAAGTGCAGCGAGCGCGTCAGCGGGTCGAAATCATGATCCCTGTTGCTTGACCTTGTTTGATCTAATTGCCATTGCTCACGGCGTTTTCGGTGAGCCTCCTCTGCCCTTAACACGTGAGTGTAATGCAACGCCTGAGAGGTGGTGTCCTCCGAGTTACGACTGAGAGATGCGACCCTCAGCTGCGCTCATATCGCATGCTCACTACTCATCCACCGGTTTACCACTATCAGAAACTGCATCCTGGTAAACGTTCCGAGCTCCAAGCCGAGCGCTCTCCTTGCCATCCTCACACATCGTGCAGTCATCTGGACTGCATGTGTGTGAACTTCCGGCCGCAACAAGCCACTAGGCCCAGTGTCCATAAACTATCCAAGTCAAGCATGCGATACCAACTCCAGGATGGATACTAAAGGAAACCCCGAGTGGGTGCAATGCGTATGTAGCGCTCGTCTACATGACCGATGAGGGGAGCGCAGATCATTTAAGCGAGAATTGACCTTGGAAAGAGCGTCATCATACGCTAAGACGGGAACGGTATTGTGCGATGTCAATTCACATACCTCCACAGCGTCGCTCTAGCCGAGTTTCCGCATTCTGAAGGATGTTCTCGTCGTTTGCAGTAACAAGCACCTGAAATTCGAGTGTGGCTTCCCTTCATTGATGCTATTGGGACCGACGTGTGTCTGACCTTGCTTCGGGAAGATAGAAGTGCTCACTCCACAAGGAGTTTTGCGCCAGAGCATCATTAAGCTCCTATATGCAGAACGTTTGTGCGCTTGTCCAAGGCGACGATCCCATAATGTTTGCCAAAAGAGTTATCGACAACGTATAATAATGGACACAATCGTCTTCTGTTCAACGGAACAACGGGTTCAATGAGCACGCTCACTTGATCTTGTGTCATAACCACGTATTAGCCGCGCCGTGAGATACAGATTGGAGGATAACTTGCCTCATAGTTTACGGGAGCTTCGTTACTTTGTCCTTAATACCTAAAACCTGCTTGATTCTGTCAATATCCACAACCAGCTACGGTCAGGATATGCACCTTCTATGACGAAGGATCGTCCCTGGACGCGTTAAGTTATGGGCATTCGTATTGAAAAGAAGTACTTGCGCCACTACTTGACATCTGCAGCCGACTCGAAGACGCTCCCTGTTGTTAGCGTGAGCGAAGAAGCGATCCTAACATGCGGTCGTTCCGGGGCCATTCCTATCCAACAGTTCCTCACCGACGAATGCGAGCGAACCGACTTATGCTCGTATTCCTGGAGCAGAACCCTTGTACATTCAAACATTGCCCCACCCCCTGCTCCCAGATCCATGGATCTACCAACGTCAATGTCCCCGGGCCTCTTACTTCTTGATGATTTGGGGTAGCTGTGACGAAAAGGAGTTGGAGGGAATAGGATGCGGTGATCCAGGCAGCTTACCACCAAGCCACAACCCCCATGTTGCAGCCGCAGACAATCCGCAACACCTGGGAGAGTACCTGTTGAAGGGGAGCCCACGCATTGGCACGAGAGGCAATGGGAGATAGATAGTGCTCGGTGGGTGTTGCCAAGCCCAGCGGCGCCTGCAAAGGAGAGACTGAAAAGGAGGCAAATACGCAGTCTTGATTTGGAAATTGGTCATGAATACAGAGTTTAGAGTGTTCACTTCGAAAGGACGCGCTTCAAGATTTCCACGATCTTTTCGACTTCCTCAATGGTGTTGTAGTGCACCAAGGAAATCCGAACTACGCCTTCGTTCACGTCGAGTTTAGGTTCCAAGTCGCTTATAATCGTGTAGGCGTAGAAGTGGCCGTAGCGAATTCCAATCTGTTCACGGACATTAGCGGTATGTCCGACAGCAATGGCGGAAAAATGGACTCACTGTGCCCGTTTCATCGAAGGCCTTGACGACATCCGAGCTCTTCATCGGGTTCTGGCCAACTACCACGAAGCTGATAGTGGGTACACGGTTGGCGCTTGTATTGCCGTCGCCAACGACGCGCACACCTCGCTCATACTGTGCGGGGTCTGTGAGGAATGCGAGAAGCGGCTTGATCAATACCTGCTCGTGCCGTGCGATGGCTTCAAAAGAGGCCCTGATATCGTTCGAAGGGGTCAGTGATTGCAGGTATGCGTTGACTCCAGTGGTGGCGTGCACGAGCTCGTAACCAGGTCCACCCGGCTGGAGCTTGTACGAAGGCGATGCATCGATGTCAATGAAGTGATGGACAAGCGATGACACCGAGTCCTTCAACACAGTGTCTCGAACGTATAAGGCTGAAAGATGAGGACCGTAGACCTGAAGCCAATCAGTCGCCAGCAGGTGTCTCGACAGACCATGCACAGACCTTGTAGTAAGAAAAAACGCAATAGTCGACATCCCAGTCCTGGACGTCGATCAGGCGATGGGGTGCGTATGCGACGCAATCCACTGACACTTCCACTTTCTTCGCCCCCTTGGCTTGTGCTTCCTTTCGCACTGCTGCCACAATGTCCTTAACCGGGGCAACGGAGCCAAGGATGTTGGAGCAGGCGGTGATAGCGACGATGCGTGTCCTCTGAGAGACGAGAGGGAGGAGGTCCTCGAGCTTCAAGCTGATGGAATATGGGTTGCCTTGATCGGTGGGAGATGCCTTCCAATATTTGAGGACTGCTCCCCGGCGCTTTGCGAGTTTCTTCCAAGGTCCGACGTTGGCTGCAGTGGTCTCCATCAGGTAAGGGTACGAAAACCAACGTTAGGATACGCACCTTCATGCTCTCCAGTGATGATAAACTCATCACCTCCTTGAATGTCGTTCTCGATGCTACGCGCAACATTCTCGAGATTCAGGGTTGAGCTCATAGCAAAGGTGATCTCTTTCGGAGATTTAGCATTGAAAAGCTTGACAGCCTCGAGAGGTGCATCGAACAGAACTCGTTGAGTACTCTTTGCAGAGACAGAGTAGGTCGCGCCTAGCTGCGCGTTGGTGTTGATGAGATAGTCTGTGATGCTATCGATAACCGCTTGGGCAACCTGAGAGCCACCAGCATTGTCACCAAAGATAAATCCACCTTTCAGGGATGGAAATTGCTCTCTGGCTTTCTGCACGTCGAGGGAGGCCATTTGTGGTAGGTGAGTGTTGTGCAGCAAGCCAGGAGGCCAGGGAGCTGATATATCATTATCGCCAGAGCCCACCATCGCGCACGATGACTGTCATGTGTGCATCGGAGAAGCGGGTGTATATATGGTGCTTCCATCCGGCCGCCCGACTCGGGGAACAGATAACCACCAGCAGGGAAGGTGAAACACTTCATCAGGGTGAAATGCAGTACAGAAGGCCATTGGGCGGGATTATTGCTGAAGCGCTGACCGAAGCGGGGTTGAGGTGAAGTTGAGAGGACGGACGGACTTTGCCGAGCGGCAACCAGCACCACGGTGATGCGCCCGTCACGGATCTAGTAGTCCGAAACACAGAACTCAAAGAATGCACGTGATGCCGCGTGACGCGTCGGTCACTAGTCTTTCGACTCCACCGCTTCCTTGACGTCGTTTTATGCAGGGAAATTTGGCGCCTTGAATCATTAGCTACGTCGTCGAATGTTAGTCAAATTACAGGTGAATCGAGGAAGACAGGAATGAGTTACGATGTCATAAGTTGCTGAGGCTCTTGACGTCGCGTGGGAACAAACGCGTCCTGCACGTCAAAACACCCGATAGTTTTTGCACAATTCCTCGCCCAGTTTTTATTTGCTAGTTCTGAAACCTCGCACACACTATCTCGCATATACGTGCTCTCCGAAAATCTCCATTGCTGTCTGTACTCCAACCAAGAAAGGCCTTCTTTTCAGAGACATTGGGACTTCCCTTGGCCTCACCGAGTCAACGGTCAGCAGGAACTACCGTAAAATAGAGAACCAAGGCCCCAACCCCGACTTCTATCAGAACACACCCATCCCAGGTCGTCCCCGGAACCTCCAGGTTCATGATGAACGCCGCGCGATCCGCCTCATCAAACAGGCAAAGCGCGCGATGCAACAGATGTCCAGCGCAAGCTATTTCCATCCCCCCATCCAAGTTCAGAGAAGTAACCTAGCGCCCATCAAAAAGTTCCCACATATATTCTTTTCGCACGCTACTGTAATCTTCCTATGCACAGCCCTGTCATCTGCCCCATGGCTGAGTTGGTTACAGCGTCCGACTGTTAAAATACGGTGCTCCTTGAGCGAGGCTCGAACACCTGCTTAGTAATCGGAAGGTCGAGAGTTCGAGCCTCTCTGGGGCAGATATTTTGTTTGCCCTTTCTTCCCTTTTTCTTGCCCCTGCAAATTCGTAGAAATGGCCAATAGCCAAGGAAGACGAGTTTTTCTCACTCAGACCCTTACGAATCTATCGACGGGAGTCCATGACTTTCATTCACTATGAGACTATAACGGTGATGAATACTAGTACAACCCCGACATGGCCTCACATTGTACACTTGCAGATGACGGCTTTCCCAGCGGGGTTGCCGCTGCTCTTGAGCTATCGAAGTTGACAATGATAAAAGGGCATTAGGCGCCGGTGACAACAGGGCCAAATAATGATGGGCCCCGTGCTGCCAAAAGACTCGGAGCGTCCTTCTCTTCCCTATTCTTCACTCAGCCAGAGCATACCACGACAATGTGAGTTCTTAGTCCTATTCAGGCTCTAGCAAATATCTAGTTGCTTCCTACGTTAATCTACAGTCGCGGACAACCAAAGTCTACAAAAATGATCACCCATGATCAACACCCACCAGAACTTCCGAAACCCATCGGAAACGACGTATCTCGTCAAGGGGGTTACGGCCACCAAGTTTGGGCCAGATACATGAAGAACTGCGGCCGCAAAGTGCCATTTATAGATCGGGAGGGGGCTAAAAATTGGCTACCCCCCCTAAAAGTCTATAGAAAATTATGAAACATAGCGCAATCGTCTCCTTTTATTTTTGTGTACATGATCCTGCATTTTGGCGACCATCCAACGAGCCGTTCCCCGCGCTAATAAATCAGGAATAAATCGAAGAAATTCGAATATCTGGCCCAAGATCCCTCCGGGCCTTGGGCTTGGCGCTCCCACGCCCGTCGGGACAACCTAAAATGCCGGTCAAGGGGGCCGAAAAATTGGCTACCCCCCAAAAAGTCTATGGAAAAACTTCGGACATGTGTTTTTTGAATCCTTTCGCAAATCTGAGTCTGTTCACCAAAAAGCTAAGGATTCTAACGAGCGGATCGTGAGAAACCTATATTGTAGGCTTTGGCTGTCCGTGACTGTACGCATTGCAGCGCTGAGGGAATCAGATCGCCATCATCATCCGGACCACCCATCAACGGAAGACCTCCGTGAACGAGGAGGTCCAAAATATCCGTGCTTCATCAGGAGTGTAACGACATGGTCTCCCCTATCACTCAGCTCTCGGACGACCTTTTGCGCGAGCTCTTCGTGTGGTGTCTCCCTCCAGAAGGGACCTTGAACGCTTTGGAAGCCCCCATTCTCCTTGCCCATGTTTGCCACCACTGGAGAACACTAGCAACGGGATATGCCTTCTTATGGAGGTCGCTGAGGCTGCAAATTGACCAGAGCGACAGCCGCTACACATTACGTGAAGAAGCTGTAGCTGGTTGGCTTGATCGATGCAGAGAATCCTCAATCCGGTTGCAGGTCATCTTTCGTGGCCTCACCAACATTCCGCGGTACAACCCATCCCATGACCACTTCACCTTCTTATCAAAAGCCGTCGCTCATCTCCCTTCTTACCACTTTTCTAGTGTCACGCTTTATCGCGTTCCAACAACACTCATTCATGGCTTCCCTCCCCTTGTCTTTCCCAGTCTAGAGAAGTTGGTGCTCTATCTGGGCTTCACCAACGACTCAGAATCCGCCTGGGACAACATCGGACCTATTGTGGCATTCCGCGATTGCCCTCTACTAAGACAAGTCTCCCTGACTGGATTTTGCCTACAAAAACTCAGTAAAGCGATCGCTCTCCCATGGAAACAGCTCACTCATCTTATCAGTTACATCGATATAGAGCCTTCCCTTTACTTTACGTTGCTCCCTCAGATGGCAGAGCTTCAGTATGCCTTCCTGCTCATGGGAGATGCGAGCGCAGGGTCGGATAGGTCCGATGTCGTTGGGTTGGTGGGCGAGAATCGTGTAGTCAACAGCCTCAGGTCCCTCACGATCTCCTACTGGGCAACGACATCCGCCAACGTCGGTCATCCCAACTTCTGGTGGGACTGCGAATTCCCAAACTTGCAGAACTTGAGGATCGATACCGAGCAACCCTACTTTGATGATGCGACGGAAGGGGACGACCTCTATGACTACCACCCGTTTGTTAGCAAGCTCGGGTCCATGAAAAAACTCCAAAGTCTCTCACTTTGCATTTCATTCATCAATACTGAGCTCTGCGAAACCCTCTTCCCTTGCGTTCCTCACCTCGCCACCCTTGACCTCGAGACATGCGATCGATACCGCGACGTCTTGGAGATTCTTACTTTTGCACCTGGGCGTGAGCTCCTTCCCAACCTGAAGGAAATCATCTTCGAAGTGGGTAATGAGGGTGGCTACAATGTGGTCAGAGACGAGGATCTTGATATCGACCATATCATTGACGCCGATCTTCTTGAGGGCATGGTCGAGTCGCGTCTGGTCTGCGAAGCAGAAAACCGCTTGCAGCGGATTGTTTTCTACGCCGGAGATACGCGCCAATTGGACGAGCAGAAGCCGTGGATTAAACGTCTACGGAAGTACGAGAGGGAGGGATTGGAAATTATCCTAAGGCACGAGGATACTGCCGGAGCCCACAAAGTTGACCACCTCTGGTATGAAAGAGATCTTGATGTTCGAGATTGGCCAGAAGGAGGAGAGGTATTCAACAATTACTCTGAATCACAGTTTTCCTAAATTCTAATACGCATGTAACTACCCGACTGGTCTTTGAGACGCTGATCACAATGCAACTTCCGCACCGATAGCGCTGGTGAGAATGTTTAGGTGCCCGATGTACCATAAACTTTGAATTCTCGTCAACCAAGGCAACGATTCGCCTCTGCTTTACTTCTTCCAAGTTTGTTGCCACCAAGCTGCACGCGACGCCCATGTAGCAATGACCATTTGATGACATGATATGATCAAAAAAGACACATGGACCCCTGCGCGTTGCGAGCAGTCTCTTCTCCTTAACGCCCTGGACATCCTGAGGATAAAGTGAAAGGTGAGAAACAGCTTATGCATACAAATCTTAATTCTAATGTTCCTACTAGCTTTGGCCTATGAACCGGAGCACGAAAGATCATTGTCTCCTCCGCCTGGAGCAAATCCGGAACGAGATTGACAGTCTTCGAGAACGACTGGAGACGCTAATGGACGAAGAGGCCGAAGTTTCTGCACTCCTTCAACAGTGCAACAACGAGCTCGCTCCCATACGCCGGGTATCAGATGATCTCCTTCGCGAAATCTTCGTGTGGTGCCTCGCTTCCCCTGGGATGTTCGACTGTATGGAGGCCCCTTTACTTCTATGCCATGTCTCCCGCCATTGGAGGACATTAGCAATGGACTATTCCCTTCTCTGGACATCGCTGAAGCTAGATCTAAATCAAAGCGATACCAGGCATAATCTACGCAACAACCTTTTGTCTTCCTGGTTTGAACGGTGCAAGGGATCCCCGGTATGGCTGCAAGTCATTTTTCTCCGATTGCGCGGACAAGACCAGCACCAACCAATTCCCCCCGACCACTTCGCGTTCTTGACCAGCGCCGTCAGCTACCCCCCGCCATGTCAATTCTCCAGTCTTACGCTTTGTAACATTCCTGCAAAAACCGTCCACACCTGTCCACCAGGTGCCTTTCCCAGCCTCGAAAGATTGGTGCTCAGCTTTCACGACGATGATAAACCTGACTGCGATGAAATTGGGCCAATTTTAGCATTTCGCAACTGTTCTTTACTGCGGCGCGTTGCAGTATCGGGATCCTACTTCACCGCGTTGAACGCAGCCATCTCAATACCCTGGCAGCAGCTCACTCACTTTATATGCGAAGAAGAGCTTGAGCCCTCATTCTACTCAAAATGGTTACCTCAAATGAGGGGTCTTCTGTATGCGTACCTCCTCATGGGAGACGGGGACGTTGGCTCCTCCAGGCCTGGCCTTTTTGGTGCAAACCAGCAAGACAGTATCCGCGCCCTCGACAGCATCACCTCCTTCACCATTTCATACTGGGGAACAGCATCAGGGAATGTCAGCCACCCCGACATGTGGTGGGAGTGCGAATTTCCAAATGTACGAGCTTTCAGGATCATTGCCTACGAATTCGAATTCGAGGAGGCCGCGGAATGGGAGGGCTTCAGGTTCAGCTCATTCATCGGGAAGCTAGAGTCGATGAAGAAAATCCAAACACTTTCCCTTGTCGTCGCAAGACTCGATCGAAGTACCTGCAAGACCGTGTTGAAATGCTTTCCCCAGCTCACTACTCTCGACCTGGAGACATGTGATCAGTACGAGCATGTGTTGGAAGCTCTCACTTACATTCCTGGTCGGAAACTCCTTCCCAACCTGAAGGAAATCGCTTTCGAAGTGGGAAATGTCGGTGGGTACGATATGCTCAGAGACGAGGGTCTCGACGATGACGATATCATCAATGTTGACCGCCTCGAGGACATGGTCAAATCACGATGGCGGTGCGAAGAGGACAAGCGCTTACGACGAGTCGTATTCTACGCCGGGCAACAATGGCAGCTGCATGAGCGCAAACCATTTGTCAAGTGTCTACGGGAATTTGAGAAGGAAGGTTTGGAAGTCGTTCTGCACTACAAGGAAAAGGTCAGAGATTACAAGGTCGACAATTATTGGTTCGAACGCGACAAGGACATTCAGGATTGGCCCGAGGCAGGGGAAATTTTTAATAACTACTATGAAAGGCGGTAGCCTATGTAGTACCCATTTTGTGCCTTCAATCGCATCTTGAGCTCTTGACCCGGGGCCGCCATCCTGGTGGAAGACCACCACACCGGAAAGCCCCTATTAAACGTTATACACAGCGCTTGTAGAAGAGCGTTTGTGTGTGAACTCGCCCTTCTCTTCTGTAAATTCATGGTCAACATCAATAGTAATGACGTTGAAAATCGGGTGAGTGGGAGTCGTTTGCCTTGGGTTTTTCCTTCAGCTCCAATACCGTTTATTGCCTATCTTCAGCTGGTGCACTTTTCAGAAGTAGGTCTAGTCACGCGCCGAAGACCTGTGAAGACAGGACCAAATAACGAAGC